TTTATCCACATTTTTCTGTCTGTTAGGAAGTTGCATAGTAATTGTTGTGATTTTTGAGGGAGGTTAAAATTGGTGCATATCTTATACTTTAATCCATCGTGCCAAACTGTGTCGAAGGCTTTTTGTACGTCTTTTGTAATGAGTGCTGTCTTGTATGCACCTTTGTTCATGTGGAGGTAGTTTGTCATTATATTGAGTGCGTCTCGAGTTAAAGTGTACTCTGAAGCCGAACTGCTTGTAGGACAGTAGTTGTTCATCTTCAAGGTGGTATCTGAGGCGGGTGTTGTATAGTCTTTCAAATATTTTGCCTTAGACTTCTAGTATGCTGATCTGTCTGTAGTTTTGTGGATCTGTTGGGTTTTTGTTTGGTTTAGGTATCATGATGGCTGTGGCTGTCTAAGAGTTTTGGGAAGTATCCTGTAGCCAGTTGGGTGTTGTAGAGGTATGTAATGACTGACTGTTTCTGGGGGCAGGTGCTTCAGGATTGCTTGACCTACATTGCTGTCGCCTTGTTTTCTTTTTAATTCTGTCTAGTGCTTGTTTGACTTCTGTTGGAGTGAAAAGAGCAGTGAGGATGTGGCTCCGTGTAAGTGTTGAGGTATCTATTGTGTTGTCAGTTCTGTCGTGAAGTGTTTGCCTGTGTGTGGTGATGTTTGTGGTTTAAGATGTGCCTTTGTTGTGTGGAGGGGTGTGGGTGGAAAATGTGTCCGTGTTGTTTAAAGTGTTCGTGCTACGTCAGCTGGCTCATTGATTTTCCTACCGTTTACTAGTAGGTAATCAAAGGGGGGTTTTGCTGTTCCTCTCAGCTTGGCGATTCTTTGCCAAATTTCTCGGGGGTTGTGTGTTCTGTGTAGCCTCTACGAGTTTTGCCCAGTGAACGTCATCGGTTATACCGTCCGGGGCGAGGAGGAAGGCTTGTTGTGATGCGGTAGAGTGCATGGCTTGGTGTTTTTGTGCTTCAGGCAGATGCTTGTAGAATCTTTGTATTTACTCGTGCTTTATGGGAACCTGCTCGTGGTCAGCTTTATCGTTAAGAAAGCTCTGGATATATTTAACAGTATCCTGGTGGCATAATATTTTTTTTTATACCGCGTGTTGTGGTGCCAAGATACGCTCACCAAACAGCAGTTAGAGTCATATTGAAAGAGAGGTCCTTATTATGGGTTATGTAATTAGTTTTCAGATACAGGGTAACTGGCTGAGCAAATCTTCCCTAGCGATTTGGGGGGGGGCGATTGTCGATACAGGGTAACTGGCTGAGCAAATCTTCCCTAGCGATTTGGGGGGGGGGGGCCCCCCCCGATTGGAATTAGATTCTTACGTATATTTAAGGCCTAAATTAGTTCCGTTAAACCTCATGTTCCCGCGTTATAATAGATGCACTTACACCTTCGTAAGCTGTATTGTTAAATCACCAAGTCAAAGTTGCTTCGGAGGGATTCATTTTCAGGGAAGTATTACGTACACTGTAGAAGTCATGAAAAGAAACAGGCAAATGAGAGGCAAGACTTTATTAAAAATTAAGCATATGTATACAATTTATCTAGACCTTGTATTACGAAGGCTATTAATATTGCGTTACAGAATTACTGCCTGTAGAACGCCTCGGTCTCACAGATTACAGGTCGGAGAGTGTTGCAGCGCGAGTCGTGCCACCCGACGCCTAGGCTGTTCACCACAGCCAGGCACTGCTCGTTACCGTCTGCGTTGTCTGGTTGACTTCTTCCAAGTCTGGCCAAGTAAAGAAAAAAGTTAGATGGTCAATATACACGAGCCATGGATACAGAACTTCAGCTTCTGTTAACAAGTTCAAAGAGACTCAAGTTAATTTTATGTAAAATAAATATAGGAACTAGAGAAGTCTTAACACAACAAAGTTTATTTCCATCAGGCAAATATTAAATAAAATAAATATAGGAACTAGAGAAGTCTGTTTATTTCCATCAGGCAAATATTAAATAAATATGGTTTGTGTGTGTATCGAAGGGTACCGACTAACCTGCCGGTGTTAGACCAGTTTGTGTAACCAGTGGAGACACCCGTCTCCCAGTACCACTGGTAAGAGCCCAACTTAGTGCCGCTTGTCCAGATGTCCCTCATTTGGTCTGTAGAAATATATTTTAAACGATACCAATGTTTGTTAACTGAAGAAGTAATTTTAGAAAACGATCGAAAGCATATTCAGTTACCATTTCAAAAGCAGAAATCCCACGATAACAGTTGAGGCAACACTCACATGTTCTAAGAACTCCAGCCACGAAGTTGTCTTCGTTCGGGTGCTCTATACTAACGGCCTGGAAGCCGTTGCCCAGCCTCTGACAATGATGGCTGGCATCGTACCATGTGTAGGATCGGCCGCCATTATGGCACCAGGAGAAGTGGTATGCCCTACCCTGGAACACCTCATCGACCTGTAGAAGGAAGAGATGCGCAATTCATGAAGGCAAGATCTTACTTTATAGTTATAAAAAAGTATATTTGAGAACCCTGAAGGGCTCGTGATCTTCAATTAGGAGGAAACTATCTACAATTTAAGATTTCAAAAATACATTACAGTAATACAGTATTATCAAATAGTCAGCAGCATATCGTCATACGTAGTTAGGAGGGTTAATTTATTAACTTAAATTACCAAGTGCATACTGTAGAACTTACGATAGGTCTGCGAGCATGATCACAAAACCGATTCTGTGGCAAGATGGTCTGTTGAGATAAGACACGAGTTGGTTTACTTTGACTTGAAAGGAATTGTCCTAGACGTTGGCCAGGGGAAGGCTGGCCCGAAGTAAAGACTTGTCCTAGACGTTGGCCAGAGGAAGGCTGGCCCGAAGTGAAAAATTGCCCTTGATGTTGGCCCTGAAGAGTCTGGCCTGAAGGGCTTTGAGGGCTTGTAGACCTCAACACACCCGGTGATCTAACCATGATATGGTCGCCATCACTGCCCACACCAAAAATAACAGGTGTTCCCTCATTCTTGACGTATAACTCCTCGGCCCAGACAGCAGTCGTTAACACGAAGAGGATTATTGTCTTCATCTGAAGGAAGATTAAAGATTTGGCGTATTAGGTTTACTATAAAGCAGGACAAGGCAAAATTAGGGCAGGAGCAGTGCCCCCCTAAAAAAAAAAAAAAGTAAAATATCAACAAAACTTACTATGAACAATGGAGTTGTTTCGGTGGAATCCAGCACACTGAAAACGCAAAGGAAGAGCCGCCCCTTTTATACGGTCGACAGTGGTGCTTATTGGCTGAATGTTCAGCGAAAGAAGCTTTCATTGGCTAATATTTGGAGCAGCTACCATAACAACCAAGGTAGCAATCTCTGTAGTCTACAATAGGTACCGTACACTCAACCCCACCTTAGAGACGAGTTTAAATTATCTTACCCAAATATTTCTCTTGTGATGTACTATGTAGTGAACAGATTCCTTAGGTCATTTATGAGTCTGTATCACAAAGCTATACTTAGTTCCCATTACCCTAGATTTTTTTTTTTTTTTACGGGATTAGCCAACCCGGGCACAGGTCACTGACCCACATCAGGGCCTGGGGGGTAATAATAATAATAATAATAATAATAATAATAATAATAATAATAATAATAATAATAAAGAAATACAAAAATTAAAAAAAATATCAAAAGTGAGAAACAATATATATATATATATATACAATCAACACCTCAACCCGCCAAGATTCGAACCCACGGCCCACGAGCCCATGACTGTGACCGGGGAACGCTAACCGCTGGACCACCAGGATTCTAAAAGCAGTCCTAGACTTTGTTATATTTCACACAAAGCCTGTTCAACGAGCTTATGGCGCCGTGAACCTCGTGAAGCTCGTTGAACAGGCTTTGTGTGAAATATAACAAAGTCTAGGATTGCTTGTAGTATCCTGGTGGTCCAGCGGTTAGCGTTCCCCGGTCACAGTCAAGGGCTCGTGGGCCGTGGGTTCGAATCCTGGCGGGTTGAGGTGTTGATTGTATGTAGAAGTCCGCGTGCTTTATTGGGCTAATGAAATATATATATATATATATATATGGTGTGTTGTCAATAGTAAGAGGAACAAGTGAGACCCTGCAATTGTGTGTAAATGAGGCAGAAAGACAGATAAGCAACCTGAGACTTGGTCACAATTTTTGTGATGCCATATGGCAGCAGGGTCTACCATAGACAACACATTATGCTTCCAATATCTTCCCAGGCGGTAGTACCTCCCTGTTTGGTAGCTGCCTAATACCTACTACCTAGAAATACTCGTTATAACTCGTATGTGAACACTGAATAAATAGTTAAATCACTATGTGGTGTGTGTGTGTCTGTGTGTTTGTGTGTATGTTAAAACTTAAGAATTAAAGTGTTAATGTCTTTGTCTTGGTATTAAAATGGTGTTGGTGTTGCCTGGAGACGTGGAAATAAAGATTCACACATTATACGACGAGACATTAAGTGATGGTTGTTGTCTGTTCATTTCTCATGGTAATATGTTTGATGTGACCATATAGCTATATGAGTATAACACGATACAAAGGAGTGTGGTGAATAAATAAATAGATATACGAACAAGAGGCATTAGATTCAAAGAGACGAACACAGAGAGAGAGAAAAAGAGAGAAGAGACGAGTGTCAAAAATACTTTTATTCCTAAAGACAAATATGAATAGCTACGTCAAAAAAACAATTCTTGGCGTACATGTGCATTGATTGTCTGAAGCAATTAGACAATAATGAAAAACTTGAAAGTAGAGATAATGAAGAAGCATTCTGTTTCCTAACAACTTTTTAACTTATTGTGAGAATTAGACTACCAAGAGTGTTTTCCTTAATTTTATTAATTATTTACAGATACAAAATTCCATTTACATGGGCGACCAATCCATACAAATGGTGAGGAAAGCAGTGCAAGAAGTTTGCTTGTCTCCGTCATTCGCCAGTTAAGTGTTCGATGTTACTGTGCAGTATTTGGGCTTCAGGGCTAAGCTAAACTAGCTGATCTATAAAGACGCCCAACTTATGTTACCTTTTGACGCCCCACGTAATACACCAGCAAGATCATCTGCAAAAGTTATCAGGACATCTTAGTAGCACATCAGTCTTTCTGTAATTAATATTACGAACAAAATTAACCGGCTGTCAGTTTGCCCTCCCTGATACAGGTAACCACCTCCCAGAATCGCCGTGGCTATATCTCAGTCGACGGGTGATAACGATGTTTAATTCCTGGCTGAGTGTAAGGCTTGTTGCTGTGCTGTACAGTATGTTGCTTGAAAGTTCGACTCCTGCAGTTTCTCATCAGTTTTCGTCTGCATTTGTTGGTATTTACTCTTGCTTTCTTATAACCTCGTCTTGTGTATAAGGACCTGAGGATAAGATAGTATCGTCAAGCAACTTTGGTGTTGGGAACTTACTGTTTACCACACGAAAATAACTGCTCGGGGTCCCATCACCCCTGGCTGGGTGTTGTGGGATGTTGTGGATGAAGTTCTTGAAGACCTTGAGTTGAGTAGTGATGAGTCTAATACGAGTGATGAAGCACAAGGGAGGTTCGAAAGTGAGAAAATACAGCTACAACAAGAGGTAGTGAAAAAGAAAGATATTTTTAAAAGGATGAGGGAGACAAGCTGGCAAGAGGACAGTGAAAGCGGAGAAGTGAGAGAGGAGATGAGACCAAAAAATCTAGGACAAAAAACGTGTGTGGGTGGTAATAATAATGGAAATACCAGAAAGGAGATAGTGGAGAATGGATCAAGAACAGAGCAAAGTATGGAATTTGAAGGATGCAGACAAGAACACACACAAGGTAATGTTGGTCGTGTCAGGAAGAGATTAATTTTTCCACAGTCATGCCCGATGACCTTCCTTGAAAAATTAAAATGGGCAGTACAACTAGGACGGGAGCATCGCAGCTTTGAGCCTCTTTTGAAAGAAGGCACACACAAGCCTTATCTTACAGTGGGGACCATGGAGGCTGTGGAAATGTTGACAACTGTTGGGTACAAGGGATTACTGATGGTTTTGCCAGAGGAGAGCGACATACTACTTACAAAGGTTATAATCTTCAGGTACCCTGTAATACTAGATCCAGAATACTTATTGGATGACGAAAGATTTGTTTGGGTCAAGAGGCATTTAATAAGGGGCGAAGAGAGAAGCCAGGTTATTGCTCTAATGAGAGGAAAGGTTCCAGAGAAAGTGTTCATCACAGGAGCAGGGTATAGGAGGGTGGCACTATATGTGGAGGGACAAATAATGTGTCTCAAGTATTGCAGATGGGGACATAAGGCCTGGAGCTGTCAACTGGACCCACGTTGTAGATTCTTTGGGAAGAGGCACGAATCTAGCAACTGTAAGGACAAGATCAAAGCAGGAGAGAAAGTGAAGCCTTGTTGTTGTAATTGTGGTAAAACTCACAATGCTAGTTCAATTGCATGCGAGATGAGGCCACGTATGAGAAGTGACCAACAAAGGAATTATTCAGAGAACACTGAGGAAGTACGCTGTGGTTTGACAGTGACAAGACAGCAGGAGAACACACAGACAGTGGAGACAGTGATTCCTGAGAATGCCTGGCATGAAGGTTCAAGAAGGATAAGGACTGCGCTTGCGGCCGGAAGAGTTGTTGATGCCAGCAACAAACAGAGTAATAAACAAGTAGCAAGTGAGAGTAGTGGTGCAGCCCTCCAGGTTAGTGATAAAACTGTCAAGAAATTCTGGGAGAAGAGGTGCATTAGATGTTTCAGCTTTTGCAAAAGTTAGGTCAGAAAATAGAAGTGATAGAGAAAAGACTTGATACAGTGATAAATAAAGAAAGGGAAAACAAAGCTGTAAATAATGTAGAATTAGAAGGGAAAGAGGAAAGTGAAGAGCTCAAGCTTTTGAAAAATTCAGTGCTTAAAATAAGTATTAAAGGGAAGGAGAGGAAAATAAAGGATTGTGTAGTGCAGGGAGCAACAACTGAAAGTTTTAAAAATGTGTTGGTAAAGTGTAAAGATGCTGATAAAGAAAAACTTTTGAGGAAATGGGAATCTGTGCAGGAGGATTGGGCCTTCTTGAAGAATCTGATTGGAAAGGATATAAAATGTGTAAATATTAATCATGGATCTAGCTAGCCTTAAGATAATGTCCTGGAATGTTAATGGTCTACGAAATAGAGTGACAGATGTACATTACTTTACCCTTAAAAATAATATTGACATAATTACCCCTCAAGAGACTGGGGACAGGAAAGGCGACCTGCTTAAACTGTCTGGATATAAGGGATTTCATCTCTATTCGGGTGAAGGTATAGGAGGGGTCTCAACATACATTAAGAATTCCACACCAGCAGAACTAGTTGGAAGCCCAAGTAGAGTACAAGAAATAGAAAGTGTCTGTATAAAATTGTATTTGAAGGAAGGAGAATTGAACATAGCAAATTTGTATATTTCTGGAGGCTGTTTTGACCTCAACTTCTTACCAGATTGCATGTTTTTGGACTCAACTTTGGCTGTAGGAGATTTTAATGCTCGACATCCAAGACTCGAAACACTGGGGAGAATTAATAGTAATGGTATAAAATTTTGGCAATTTTTACAAGATCACCCAGATGCTTACTTGTTAGGAAATGAGGAAGTGATTCATATTAAAGGTTAGACTATGCTTGCATGATAAGCAGTCAGGGAGTCCAGGGAGAATGTGAGATAATAAGGGAGCTAGTCAGTGACCATTTTGTTGTGTATGTTCAATTACCATTAGGGAAGAGACAGGTGAGATATAGGAGGAAGAGATTGAAACTAAACAAGGCTGACGCAGAAGTGTTTACCCAAAATAAGGAGAAATGGTACAGAAATTATACACCAGTCTGTATGGATAGCTTTTATAATGACCTAGTTGGGGAGATAGAAAGATATTTAACTAAGTCAACACAGAAAAAGATAAATGATAAGACACATGGGCCTAGGAAACACTGTTATACCAATGACAAAATGTTGAAAGGATGGACACAAATGTTAAGGGCAGCACATAAAGATTGGGTAAAAAATAGTAGAAGAGAAGAAGATAGGGAAATCTTCATGGATGTAGCCAAAATATGTGGGCAGGCTAGGAAGGAGGCAAGGGAGAAATATTGGCAAGATTTTGCACAGCACATTGGGGAGAGTAAAAATCTCAAAGAAATATGGCAGGATATTAACAAAATTAGAGGAAAAAGGAGTAATTTTATTAGTCATCCTCATCCAGAGGAAGAAGCTAATAAACTGGTTGACAAATGGGCTAAAGCAGCTAGTGTTGCCTCCCTGCCTAACAGGACAATAGAAGCATTAGATGAGTGGCAAAATGAAAGAAGAAGATTTATTTCATCAGCTCTAAATATTTGTGATGTAACATGTGTAGATATTACTCAAGATGAGTTATTAAATGCTGTTAAAAAAGGAAAATCTACAGCACCA